CAAGCTGCAAAGGTGGAAATGAGGCAAATTGAGAGGGAGGGGGCGGAAAATCTGGCTTCCAGTGTTAGTGGAGAATAAGGATGCTTTACAGCTGCAGGCTATATAAAGTAACACCTTGTTCACGAGTCTTTCGTTGGCTGACATTACAGGGTAAATTTAGCACATTTGTGTGCTACTTTTCAGCCACTGGATCTGTGGCAGGGCTGTTGCATTGGATTGCATTATATCTAACAGGTCCACAAGTTGTATTCATTTGGTATGTTGCTTAATTTTTTCTTGAGCTGATGAGGTAGGATGAATATTTTGTACTTATTTTCATCCACACAAGATTTATGCATGTGTTTACATTAGCATTGTAATGTTTGTATGACCCTTATCTATTATTTTAATTATTGTTTTATTAATCTTTTTTCCGTATAGCCTTCCCCTCTTTGCTACTGCAGGGTCCTCATTTCCCTTCAGGGACTATTAAAGTTTCATTGTATCTTATCTCATGGAAGGTAAACAGACTCATTAAGCAAGTTATGATCACAGTTGAGCAGCGCTGCAATGAAGGTAACACTCTGCAGGAGCACGTCACATGTAGCATGGGGAAATCAACCCCCCCTCTGGGGGAAAGGCTGCTGCTGCTGCTGCACAGCTGTGGCCGCAGGTGCAACACAAGCTAATGCTCATAAGACCTTGTTTTTTTCCTTCAGCTGCCATGTACATGCTAGGACACACACACACACACACACACACACACACACATTTTTAAAAAAATCAAGGGCAGAGTTGTATCTGCGCACCTGCTTTCCTTTAGAAGCAATTTGGTGTTGTAGCTTTCAGCTATAGGTCCTTGCACATTTAAATGCAAGAAATGACTGGTGGTGGTTACACATGGTTTTGCTAGCGTGCTTCAGTAGTTTTAGGTGAATGTTAGATTAAGAATTATGATAGGAGCTGGTGATTGAAAAAAAAAACACACAATATATGTGGCATGAAACGGCCATCTGTCTTTAGTCGTCCTGAACGCTGTGTGCTGCTCTCTTATGGTGGAGCCTCTTGGTTAAAACTAGCAGCTGAGCTGTACACCCACAGCCACTTTGCTCTGTCAGAAGTGTTAAGGATCAATGGTAAGTGCCTGTTCAGCACCAGTATTGTTACTGCAATAGTAACAGTCCTGGACTCCGAGTTCTCCACCAGCCCACAACAGCACAGTATATTTGGGATTTTTACACTAATTGGATTTCCCGTCTCCGTTTTAAAGGCAACATATAGAAAAAAAACCACCCTGTCCCCATGTAAAATCAATCTGACTCAACAAAACCGCGAGGAGCTCCAGTGCTGCCGGGTGCAAGGTACACAGAGCGAACCCTGTGGACCCAGCTGAACTTTCCAAAGATCACCTTGTCACAGTGACTCAGGAAACATCCCTGAGGTGAGCCGTGGGTGACAGCTGCTGCTGCTCCACTGGCTCAGGTAAATGCCAGAAACCCCCCTTGGATATACACTGGCTTGTTAACACACGCA